TCAGACCTAATACTCAAATTACTGTCACTCGAGCCGATAAAGTACTGACATCAGCGTAGTATTGTCATCAGCTATGTTTACCAGCACTAGGCTCATATATTAATGAGGAATATTGTACATCAGGTAGAATTTTCTGTGTTCAGTCTGGGGGACTAATCCTACTTGATGCCGTGCTTTATGCACTGCTAGACCAAATTCACGTGCTGTATAGCCATGAGTACAGCCTAAGGACTTCTGGCTAAAGCGCTTTGCATTTACTCTGTTTCCTGACAGAGCTGCAAGTCCGAAGACTCTTGAATTACACTCTGGTCTGTGAAAAGGAAGGGACAAGAGCACAGATGCTTCTGTCTGTCCTCATCAAACACTGACCCCTTCCCTGCCTCTGTCTGTCTTGCCTTTAGCTCCTTGTCCCTGTTCAGGTGCCCTGCTCGGACTTTACAAACATCCCTCGCTCTCTTTCATCCAGTTCACGTCTCTAAGCTATCTCATGACCTTGTTTATAAACCCATCTACATGTTCCGTGTTCCCACTGGCTGTATCTGCTGGTTTTGCTCCTCCTGGATTCTCTCACCCTGCTATTGTCTTTGCTAAAATTGGACGGCTTCTTCTTCTTTTCCACGTTGGCTGAGAAGAGGAACTGTTACTTCTCCAGTACTTCCACATTCTTGATTTTGGTATCAGTTCCCTGATGGGAAAGCCTACTCATCCTACGAGCTTAGTATAGCTAGAATCTTAAAAAAAAAAAAAAAAAAAATCTAGAAGCAACCCATCAGTGCTAATTTCTTGTGATATGGGAAAAATTTGGACCATTTTGGAGAAGTTTGTATCTACATTTATGTTTACTTTTGTGTGAGGTCAAAAGGCATTCCAAAAATAGATATATTTTTCTGCAAACCACAGGGTGGTTAAAGTTGCTAAAAGAAAAACTGGTCCAGGCATTACTAGAAACACTTGTAAGCAGTGGTGAAATTAAGATTTTAGAGATTCACATAGTAGCATATCATATATGTCAGCTGTATTACAGCAAAGGAAAAAAGATATACAGTCTTAAAGGACAGGGTTGAATTAGTGGATCATTTCTGGTTTTTTATATTGTGGAATAACAGAAAGTAGTCTGTGTATGTCTCTTCTGAAATTTCACAACGAGATACATAAAAATGCTTTATCGAAACAGCAAAGAAGTGCACGCACAGTGCAGTGTGTGCAGTAGTCCTCAGCGTATGTTATACATAAAACCAAACCCCACTACGCCTCAGGTTGTAGTGTTTCCCAAGTTTCTTTAAAAAACTGGTAACAGAAATGGTATGGGGAGGAGTGGAGGAGGGAGGCAGGATGGAATGGTAGTTCTGCCTGTAAATTGGAGTGAATAACAGAGCCTGAAGTAGTACAGCACTGCGGAGTCCTTCCCTAACACTGAACGGGGGAATGTAACAAGCCGTGCACTTAAAGACTATCTTACTATACTGGAAGTGGGCTGGAAGGTGACTGGTTTTGGTTACACTTGAAACGTACCTGTTTTCTTTGTTTCGATAAATACTTATTTACAGACTAACAGCAAAACTGTTGCTGTCTCCCTCTTATCTTTCCCAGTCATTTAACTAACCTCTGTGTTTTTCCTAGTGCTCTAACTTGGATTTTCTGATTGTGTTGTGAGTGACTGTCATCCTTTTAATCTACTGCATACTAATGTTGGGAAGGCTCTTTCCTCTGTGTCTAGCTCTTACAATGTGCTGATATTTATGAAACTCTGGCCTTTCATTGCTGATTTCTAGATCTGCTTCATCGAGGAACAGGGAATATTTTTTAACCATTTTGTTTCTTTTGTTTTGATCTATTATTTTCAGATAGCTGAAATTTGTTATTATAGCATATGCTAAGGTCATAGGCAAGTCTTTCAAAAGGTGCCTAAACCTGCTTGTGGTGTGAAAGGTGCATCCATAGATTGAGAACAAGTTAAAAAAAACATAGATCTGGTACAAGGAAACCAGCTGCTTGCTTTCTTCCCCTCAAACACAGATGATGTTGCTACTTTGTGGTGACTTAGTGCAGGTTGAATTCTGACAGCATTTATTTGGCTACATAACTCAGGATGTGCAGTTGCTTGAAAAAAGTCAAAGTCTTAATTTATGGCTTATGACAACTGATTTGCTTTTGCCCAAACTGAACATTTGTATATCTCTTCAATCAATGTCCTATAGTTTCTGAATGGCTGTACAATATTCAAGATTGAAGATTGATTAGAAATTGTATCTTTAGAGCATACTCTACTCATTCAATTAACAGTTCAATAATCTGCAAATAAGCTAATATTTTAAGGACTACTTAACAACTTTTCTGTTAATCCTGTGAGATAATCCTTGTTTCTTATTCGTAATTGTATACTTTGTTCCTGGATGGTCAGTATTGACATGAGCATGTCAAATTTTATTGACAGAATTGCTTCTTGAAACGAAGAATATGTATTGCAACAAAGAAAACTCAAACCAGGCAATATTGCCAGGATTCACGTTAGACATTTATAATTCCAAACAGAGTTTGGAAAATTTTCTGAAGAGATAAATCTTTCTTACGTATTCATCTGAGTTTTCTTTTTCCTTTACACTGTTAATTTATTTTAAAAGAATAAAAACCTATGCACATTACTGTGAATGAACACGAAGGTACAGATTTGCTGCTATAGACTCATGTGAAATTTCAGTTCTGTTCTCTTTTGATTTCTACATACTTTCACCTTTTTCATTTCCCGTTGGTTTAAGTTCATGGTAAAATTAGCAGCATGTGCTTTCTGACAGTGAAATTCCTGAATGTGTTGGCATGGAATTGCAGTAATGTGTTGTGGCTTGGGCCCCTCGCAGGAGTGTATCTCGCAGTCAGCCGTGAAAACCAAGTTTGAGCAGCACACTATCAGAGCTAAACAGATAATAGATACTGTGAAAAACATTATGGACGCCATAAACGTAGCAGCAGCAGAGAAAAGGTAGGTTGGTTGGTTGGAGGGCTGGTTGGCTTTGGTTTCTCCAAATCCTCTGAGGAGCCATTTCTATGCTGGTGGTTTTCTTGCGCCGTTATGGACTTGAAAATTCACTTTTCTTGCTTGGTAAGAAGTAGAATTTCTCTGGTGTGTTGGTCTTACTACTGGTCACTTGCACCGCTCAGTCTTGTCCTTGGTCTGTGACTTCTGTATGGGGATCTTGGTTTACTCTGTTATTCTTCATTCCTGATCTACAGTTACAAAGGCAGTCTGTGCTTTCAAATCTTTTTTTCAAAAATATTAGAAATTTTCAGTTTTTCTAGCTGTATCCAGCATTTCAGAGGTGATGTTTGGGCCTGCTTTACCTCAGTTTTTTGTTAAGAGTAACACTGAGAAAATAAATGGGAGGATGCAGACACTTTAATTTGCGGGTGGTTAGAATACCCTAAGGGGTGAGAAGAGCCCAAGCTAACAGAGGCTTGACCTTTGGCCCTTTCCAGATTGTATCCTTAAATATCTTTATTTTCTCTTTGCTCATGTAATCCTTTTAGTGCTAATGATAGCAGCTCATCTACTCTGATAGTTTCGTATATTCTTTGAGGTTTGAATATGTATAGTTTTTTTCCTCACTTATGTTGCTACCTCCTCTCTCTTGTTCACGGTGAACTTGCTGTCGTGTTTAATCCTTTGATCCGTCTCCTTTCTGTGTCTGTTAATAGTGTGTCTTTATGTTTCAACAGACTCCACTGTGCCTGTCAAACACACTCATCTTCCTGAATATATCAGCTTTTACAAACTGCGTGTTTACATACTGACTTGTCTCACATTGTCAGATCCTATGAAAACATGCTGTGAAACATTTGAAAATACTCTGATGTTTTATTCTTTCTGTCAATTGACCTGCCAAAACCTGTGTAGTGACCCCTTTTAATCTGAATTGCTGTTTGATGTTTCTGCTGGCCCTTCAAGGTATAACTGCTTTACATTTTAAGCAATTTTTACTTAAATGGTAGGTCGAGGACTTCTGAAGAGAGTTGTTTGTGACAAGGTTGGTTTCTGTTGCCTCCCTTTTTACTTTGCAGGGTCATCAGACCATGTCACTGTTAAGGAATAGTTGAGTGGTGCTGGTGAGCAGCAGTAGGACAGTTTGATCAGATTTATCCTCCTTTTTTTTTTTTTTTTTTAATTTTTAAATCAGGATAGACTTAAGTATTAAAGGCCCCTGATTCCCTGCACCTTTTCTAGTTGTAATTATGTACAGAGGTAACAATTCCAACTCCAAATGCTGTTTTTGTGAAGATATCAAAACCCAGTAGGTTGAGTTATGTTTGGTTGATGCAGCCTTTAAATGCGCCTGTAAACTTAATATCTATATTGCAGTCATTTTGAAACAGTGCTTCTGCTTTGTTTGGCCGATGTCACTTTGGATTCTTTTTGGCTGCTCAGTAAACCATTAGCTAGGTGGTCCGTGCCCACTTACGGGGCTTGTTTCCTTACTGGGAGAATACCTGCTGGTGATGGTGATTTCCTTTCTGCTACATTAGAGTCCATTCGATGGAAGAGCGAGAAGATCAGAAGGATAGATTGGACTTTGTTCGAAATCAGCTGAACATTTTGACAGAAGATACTAAGGAAAAAATCAAACATGTTACTGAGGAGGTAGAAAATAAAGTAAGTAATGGCAGTGTGAAAAATCTCCCAGATTCAAGTGTTGCCTCTTCTGTAAGGCAGCTCCTTTAGGTGCCCACCCATCTTATGAAGTATGTTTGAAATGTCTAATATGTTCCTTTTCCAATATAAAAAACCCCACAAAAAAACACAAAACCAACCAACCAACTAAACAAAAAACCTCAAAATGGCAATCCTTCCTGACTATCAGGTAACCCCACAAAACCAAGCAACCAACTAAACAAAAAACCTCAGAATGGCAATCCTTCCTGACTATCAGGTAACGGAATAATTTATTGTAACACTTAATGCAGTAGTCTGTTTTCACTGTGGCTGGAAAAGGTAGGAGAAACATTTTATGTATTTACCGCATTCTTCCAGGTCTCCTCTGCCATGACGGATGAGATTTGCCGACTTTCAGTTTTAGTTGATGAATTTTATTCAGATTTTCACCCTTCTCCTCAAGTATTGAAGCTCTATAAGACAGTAAGTTTTCTTGCATGGTTTGAAGCCAAGCTCTTTGTCTTTCCTTTAACTTCCATTTCTATATTTTCATAATTTGCATAGCATTTTATGTGACACTTTGTTCAAGCATTGCAGGATTTTTACTTTTTGATGTATGCATATCTCTGTCTACCTAGAACTGGAAAAGGTTGAAAATATTTTCTGCTTTGTTCTTGGAAAGAAATATTGTTTCAACTGTCTTTTTACTAGAGTGGTTACTGAAACCGACATCCTGATTTGGAGTCTTCACTTCTAGTAAATAAAGACCTTACATAAACAATTTTCACTACGCCTAAAATGAAAGAGATCCAAAAATAAAATGAGCTTGCAAATACCCAACACTATGTTTTTTACAAATTTTTTAAAGAAAATAAGCAGTTTTTATCAAACTTCTATAAAATCCTCCTCAAACTTAGTATTTTAAAGGAGCATACACCTGTAAGCGTTTGCCTCATATGTTCCGACTTTGCTGCTAATGAATGACTGCTGTAACTCCCACCTGTTTCAGCCTTGTCGATCAGCTGGGAGGGCTGCATTTTCAGGACGGTCTGTGCCGTCCCAGCTCTGCAGAATGTCCAGAGCAGATCTCCAGGGGAGTCGGTGGGATTGGTTTATCTTTGTGCAGAGCAGTAAAATTGGCTCCCATCAAATGATGACAGCTTTGCAGGGCAGTATGGTAATGGTATGCTTTTCAGTGTCACTGTTTATTGAAAATACAGACTTTTCCATGTGCCTTTTAATGGTTACAGTCTTAGAACAATCTTTCCTGTGTCATTTTAGTTAGGTTTTCAGTCACAATGTGTAATTTAAAAGCACAGTATTTCCATGGTAACATGCTTTTCTTCCCGGTGTAAATAGCAATGCTTAGTGTTTAACATATCTCTGCTCTGAATAATGTAATTGATTAGCTAAATATAAATTGATGAGCATATATTTTTTACTAAAACTTCAGGAACTGAACAAACATATAGAAGATGGCCTAGGAAGGAACCTGGCTGATCGTTGCTCCAGTGAAGTCAATCAGTCAATGCATCAGTCGCAGCAGGAGATGATTGGTAAGATGAGGGAGGAGGAATGTTAAGACTCTCTGTTTAGAGGAAGACAATTTAAGAAAACGTGCTTTTAAAAAGATTTTCTTTCTGCTCGTGGTTGAACATTAACACTGTAAAATGATAAAGGAAAAGCCATCCTAGATCAAGACCGAGTGTCTGTTCAGCTTGGTAGCCTATCTCTGATACTAACCAGTAACAGATGCTTGGGGAGAAGAATAATGAACCAGGGTAAATACAGTGATCCATCCCCAATTTAGGGACTTCTAAGCCAAGATACTGCATCTGGATTAATGGTTTAAGCAGTAATGGAACTGTCCTCTGGGAACTTGTCCAATTCTTTTATAAACCTATTTAAACTTTTGGCTTCCACAACAGATATATGAAATACACTAATTGTTAGATAATGTTTCTGTAGTATAATCCTCTCCCTAGGTCCGTCCAGATTCTGAGTGGAAAACAGGATAGTTTCACAAAGTAATAAAAGATTCAGAGCAAGATCATGAAATTACATGAAGCCTTTTGTCGTCTTATGCAGTAATGTTGCCTTTTCTGTACAGCACCACAGAACTGCTGGATAAACCAACTTTTTCTTAGTCCATCCTTATCTTTTGACCGTTGATAGAGGTCTTTCAGTTAATTTGACCATTTTTTCCAGCAGTGCTTTCGCTATGGGTTGATTTTGCGTGACTGTTTTCTTGTATCACAGCAATAAATTGTCTATTCTGTTAGGATCAATACTGGTGAAATGCCTACCAATTTTACAAATAAATAAATAAATTGGTAATTTTAGATTCTTGGAGTTCACAAACGTGGTTGGCAGTGCAAGGATGCTACTTGTGAATATGCTGTAAAGCTTTTAATGATAATTCATCTTTACTATTCTGTTTTATTTCTAGAAAATCTGAAACCGTTGTTGCCTTCTGGTGCTCAGAATCAGCTCCACTTGCTAATTCCATGCAGGAGGTTTGACCTTAGCTATGATCTAAACTGTCATAGTCTGTGTGCAGATTTTCAAGAGGATATCATGTTCCACTTTTCCTTGGGATGGACTTCACTTGTAAACCGTTTCTTGGGTCCTAAACAAGCTCAGAGAGTACTGTTTGGACTAGCAGATCCAAATGTACAAGTGAGTGTTTAATGATTAGCCTGACAAATAAGTGCCTTGTTCTGCCTTGATGAGAATATATTGATTTTGCCTCTACTATTTACATGCTTGCTGCTACTTTTCTCTAGTCCCTTTGTGTGAAATATTTTTGGTGAGGATTGTTTTTATTGGATTGTATTCAGGGTTAGAATGGAACAAAAAAAACTCCCCTAAACTTTCTGCAGCTGTTACCTGAGTTTTCCTTTCCTCTGGATTGAGCCCTTTGGGTAACCTTTTCATTTGTAACTTCTGGCTCCTTACGGCAGAGCCAGTCCTACATAGAACCCTTATTCTAACCCAGTCCCTGTTGGGCAAGGAACTGTCAAAACCTCCACTGCTTACCAGGAGCATTGTTCAGCTTTCTGTGCTGAAGACTTTCCTTAAGTAAATCAAACCCTGAATATATGAAAATGAAATAAAACCAATCTGCTGTGTAGTTCCTTAATGCTTTTTACTCAGGCTGCCATATTCCACTCTCCTAGATCCCTCGTCCTTTAGCTACCACCCCGTCTGCTGCCAGCCTTCCTGCCGTAACTCCAGAGAACGTATCGCACAATGATTTTGTGGTTCCTTTGGTAATGAGTTTAGCTTCACTGACATCACGGACCTCTATGAGCATCATCGTTGTTGGCGGAGTGGCAAGTACTATTAGCAACATTCACAGTCCTTAGAAGTGATGGCAGAGGTTAAGCTGATCTTTCCTGTTCAGGGTGCGACATGAAGCACTGACGGACTTAACACCGGCTGGATGAGCACGTGTGGTATACACTGGATACCTGCAGTCAGTTTGTAGTGACAAAATTAGTCTAATTACTCTGAGGATAGTTGGACATATTCTCTATGCCATATGCCTATGTTCGGTATCTGAATTAAAGGATGATTCGATGGTGCCTCACTCAGTTTGGATTTAGTGGGAGCTTTGCTTTCTCCTTCCTCCTTCATGAAAAACCAGTGAGGCTTCTGCAACCTGCATATTCTCCATGCCACTGGGTTCCTAGCTCATTTGAATATAGCTGTAGTGCTCTGCAATAATAATATGGAAATAATATATTTTCTTAAACTGATCTGGTGAAAGGGCTGTAAAGATGATTAAAAAGAAGAATGGGTGGAATTAGATTTTATTTTGTAGGGTAACTTACTTAAGCTAATGAAGAATCCTCTTTTTCAGATTTGGAGAACAGTAGGCTGGAAACTCATCTCTCTTTCCTTAAGCATGTATGGGTTGTTGTATCTTTATGAGAGGCTAACTTGGACCACAAAAGCGAAAGAGAGAGCCTTTAAACAGCAGTTTGTAAACTATGCTACTGAAAAGCTGCAGATGATCGTCAGCCTTACAAGTGCTAATTGCAGCCATCAGGTGCAACAGTAAGTATCACACTGGTGGTGCCCCTTGCTAGGATAGGAAATCCATGTCGGTGCGGTACTGGGGTGTCCTGGGAGTGGGGACTGGCTGGGCATAATGTGGGAAGGCAGCTTTAGTGTCCCTTGGCATTGATTATGAGGGAGTTTTTGAAATACGACCTGAAAAGGTCAATACATACGTCTCTGTGCGTACATATGAGAGTTAGTCTTAAGATGTGTCCTCCCTTGGTCCAGCTTCTTACTATGAAGACGTGGGAGTTGGCTCAGTTCTAGTGGAGGCTGAATTGGTCTGCTTTTAGATTAGCAATGCTTCAGCCCCAAGTCACTTTAATGGTGAGCAGTTGTTCTGCCTAAGGGTTGGCATGGTTGAGTTCTAAGCAGCCAGTCCTGGCTCTTCTGCACTGCAGAACAGGAACTTACGAGCCTTTATTGATACAAAGATCGGTAACATCCAAACCCCCTTGCTTTCTAACTTTCCCCACCGAAGTGGGAAGCTAGGAGTCTGACATAATGAAACTCATTAACACCAAAGTGTTATTAAGCAGGCATCCTGTATTGCAGCGCTGGACAGCAGTGGGGGTTGCTCCACCATGAGTGCTTCAATGATTTGGTAAACTTTCAGAGATAATATACTGTAGTTATTCATAGGATTTCCAAGAACTCATTTACATAAGCATGAGAAATCCTGGAATTCATTAATATATGCAAATGTCTGATCGGCATATGCAGTCATCTTCCCTGGTGGTCTTTAGGTGGTCATCGGGGTCTTCAGATGAAGGCTTGTAGTCTTCTTCGCTATGTCTGCTGACTGACCTTTACTTCTGCTCAAACTCAGTTCTGGGATCACGTAGACCATGTCCTTCAAGGCTGTTGTCTAAAGTGAGATTGTCCCGGAGCCTCTTTATCTTGCAGCCATTCTGGCTAGCTAAATGACAAAAGACTTTCTTTTGTTTAGTTGAGCAACCAAGACACTCACAACATCCTCCTTTCTCCTGGGGCCCCAACTCCTTCACTATGAACTGTTCCTTTTTTGTGTGTGTGTGTGTGTCTCTTTCCCAGATCCTTTTCTGCTGGTGTCTGCAAAGTAACGTCTGGGTCACTGTCTCCCTCAGCCTCTCCTGTTGAAAGAGTTTGTTTTGATTAAATTATTATTTCAGAAAATTAGGCCTGCTAAATGAGACCTCTAACCACCAGGGTGCAGAACAGCTCTCCTGTGTAGCCCAGGGAATACTTCACTAATAGAAAGTTCAGCTTCAGCAGAGGAAGGAGAATCATCCCCCGTGTCCAGCAGCTGTGTGTCTCTGTGAGGACATGGAAGAGCTCGACTCAAACCAGTGCCCCAGTGAGGTGAAGCGGAGAGGAGAGGAGATCTCCCCTCTCCTAGGGGAGAGGCTGGTTGCTGGCCCGGGGTGGTAGCTGGGGTTTTTTTCCCCTTTGTGTAAGGGGTCTTGGAACTCAGGTTGAGAGCAGGTGGCTGAGGAGGCAAGTAGGGTCGGGTGCCTCAGCGCAACTGGGGCACCCTCACCCTGCAGAGTCCTCCAGCACGAGTGGGGCGCCCTCACCCTGCAGAGTCCCCGTGTTCCCCGTGAGCAGGGCGCTGAGCTTGGCACGGGGCTGCTCCAGCACCTGTTACCGCCACAGCCCCCATCTCGGACTTGTACCTGTTGATGTGCAGTGAAAAATTGCCAGACGTGAGGTTGGCATAGACTGAGGTGCATTTTGTATGTTTAAGGTTTCTTTTTTTAATTTAAAAAATACATAATTCTCCTGCTTTCTGCTATTCTATAATCCCTTAACAGCTGGAGACTTTGATTGCTGTTTTCTATTGCACACTGCAACGCCCTGTGAAATTTTATTTTTTTTTTGTAGCACAGAATTCTGTAAGTCATGATTACGAACTTGTTTTCCCTTTAGGGAAATGGCCACTACCTTTGCTCGGCTCTGTCAGCAGGTGGATATTACCCAGAAAAACCTGGAAAAAGAAATCGATAGGCTTTCCAAAGAAATAGATCAGCTGGAGAACATACAGAGCAACTCCAAGCACCTGAGGTAAGTCTGGGTGTGACTGGCCACAAGCAGATTCCTACCCCTGCCGACTTCAGCAAGGTTGGTGCTTGCTCTTACTTTCAGGTTGAAATGAGGTAGGCGCAGGTGCAGAAGGGCGTGCAGCAATACCTATTTTCTTTACTTGTAACTGAACAGCGCTGGTTAAGTTAAATAAATGTATGCTTCTACCTAGGTGAATGAGCAAAGCTCCAAAAATATTCTTTCTTAGGTCATCTTTTACCTTTGTCTCTCTCTATTGTATGGGAGAGATGGCTTTCTCAAGAGTATTAATCTTCTGTAGGTAAATTAGGGTGGCACCTTCCCAAAGAACACTTCCTGTAGGAGAACACCAGAGCAGCTGTACTGTGTTGAGTCATTCAGTGCAATACTGGTTTTCTTTTAGTTCCGGTAATAGGTGTTTACAGATGAGAAACTTCCAGCAACTGGTGGTTTAGGGACTTGGGAGCAGGCTCAGCCTTAGTTTCATGTCCTTGTCCCCCTGCTGTAAGCCTGCCCTGGCTGTGGGCTGCCTCTTGGCAGAGACCACGATGGGATGAACGTCTGGCCCCAGAGTGCACGCCCCGTGGCATGGTGTGCTGCAAGAACAGCCTGTGTGAGCAACCCTGCGCAATGCCCTGCTTGCAAAATTGCAGAACCTCTCCCAAATTAAACATTGAAAGGCAAGGCCAGAACCGGGGCAGTCCCGGATGGACCTGGCACAGCCTTTGGGGAAAAGGAAACGTGAGGCAGGTCGCTGGGAGCCTTCTGCTGCCTCGGCAGGTCCCCCACTCGCAATGTCCGAGGCTCTGACCAGAGCACGTTTAGGTTTTCTTAGTGCTGTGGGTTTCAGGAATGGAGGAATAGAAATTAAACACCGATGTTGATTCTGCCTTCTCTGTGACGTTACTGCATGGAAGTAAATGCATTGCTTTTGTTTGTTTTACAGAAATAAAGCCATTCACCTTGAGAATGAACTAGATCGCTTTACAAAACATTTTCTTCAAAAGAGTAAATAAAACAGCATTGCTAACTTTCCTGGTGATCCTTTGTAGGACAGAGTAGAAATTTTACAGATTACACTTCTCCTCTGTGGAGTCACATGAAATGATTTATATTTTAAATGTTACTTTGATTACACTTGTTAATTACTGTAAAACTTGGTCTCTGATGGTGAACCAAACTGAAGAGCTGTGGTACTCTTGAGTGTTACATTTGTTTTGCAGATTTGGGGTTAAAAATTATCTTTGAACACTAAATTTCTTTGGGCACTTGACAATAAAAACCCAAATCCTTACTGGCTTTTGTTAGTATTTGGCAGTGGCAACTCTCGCTTCCTGGCATCCAGGAGTTTATGCAGGGAGAGAGAGCTTATCACAGTTATCACTGTCTCCTGTTTTCAGTTGCTTAGGAATTACCCAGGGATGGAGGATGCTGCTTTTTCCTGTGTGTGGTTTTTGTTTCATGAAGGGAAGTGTAAAAACTCCAGCATGGGGAGAGGACTCTTGACTTGTTTTGAAAACAAGTGGAATTGTGTTGGGCAGCAGTTCTGCTTCCTCACATGGAAGATGACAGTAAACTGCAGAGCACTTGCTAATGAAATGCAGTAGGCTCTTGTTTCCCCTCTGGCTACCACAATTAGACAAGATGGCATTGATAAAGTAAAAAATAAACCTATTTCAACAAGCTTGTCAGCTTTCTTGCAGTTGGTAAAGTAGCAAAATGGTCATTTGCCCAGGAGGGCACTGCTGGCAGGCCGGTTGAGGCGAGCTGCAGGGGTGGGTGTCCCTGCCACCAAGCTGCAGCGTCCAGGCAAGGCAGCATTTGCTGAGCAGATGGGCTTGACTCAGGTTTTGCATGTTGGGTGGGGAAGCTTAGGGTGCTGGGGCTTGACCGTGAGCTCCTACCGCTGAAGGCACAGAGCCAGGAGAGGCTGGGTTTGACAGTTTTTACTTGTGCAATCGCCTAAACAGGCCCTTGGTTCTGCTGTAGGCCAGGTCTCCTCCAGGTGAGACTTAAGGCAGGGGTGTTGTTGGAGTAGTTGACCTTTGCTCGCCTCCAGCAATGCAAAGCCTCTTTTTTTAAAAAAAAGTTTTTGCTGTTGCCATCTGCAATCATTTAACAACAAACACCTACATTTTTCTAACTAGACTTTTTAAAAATAACTTATTTTAAAAGATAAAGCCTTTTCAAATATTTATATATTTTTATGGAAGTGTTAACATGACTAAATGAAATATTCAGCTTTAAAACTAAGATGTAGGGATTAGCTGTTCCAGTAAATAAGGGCTATCTATCTTAAAATGAAATAGATTTAAAATCTAATGCTAGAGGCAGTTAATGATTTGAAGATGAAGATTGTTGTCACCAGTGTACTTTGGCGTCTGTTTCTGACTGTGCTAGCACAAGCGTGGCTCTCTTGAACTTTCATTAGAGGTGTGCAGGAGCTGTCTCGAGTTTTTGAGGGAAACTGAAAGACAGAAGTGAGTAACGGTCCAGCCTTTGTGTGTATCAGGTTACAGATGTGTAATTAATGCTCTTTTTCTGGAGCATTTGTATGGACATTGTATCAAGATAAAACTTTACATGCATGTGTTCTGCAGTTATTTATTTATTAAAGGAAATGTAACCCCTTTGCTGTAGTAAGTTATTTGGGAGCTGTGTCCAAGGTGAAAACGTGCCCCGTAGCACTCGCGTGTAACGCATATCCAGCGTAGGGCACAACCGCTGAGGCTGAATTCAAAAAGCTGCTTCCTGCAGCAGACAAGCAAGCTGTGCACGCCATCGCCAGTACCGATCAGTTACATGTTTGGGGTTGGAAAAAATAATTAATGCTCCAGACATAAAAAAGGAAGGAGGGGAAGGTGTCTGCCCTTTAAGGGAGTGTGGTATTTGTGCAACAGGAATTCTGATACCATGAACGAACCTATTTTTTTTTCTCCCCCCCTTTCTCAGGCAGAAAACAGACAAAAAGACATACTGCTTTGGAACCAAAAAACCAAACCGTAATTCTTTCTTCATAAGGGCAGTTCACTTGTGTTACATTTTGCTGTTTAACGAACACAAACACACACACACGTTCCGTTCCCTATGGCAAGGCAGCGGGAAGCAAGTGGTGCAGGTACGGCTGGTCTGTCCCTGTGCCACAATCTCAATCTTTGAGATGGGCCACTCGTTATTACAGCTCTAATAAAACATTCACAAGTGACACAGTCTGGTTAAAAGCACTTGTTTATTGGTTACAATATCAACTCATGGCAACATCTTTCACTGAGCCACTGTACAAATACAAAGAAAAAGATCCATTGTGGAAAAAAAAGCTATAAACAGAGTTCATAGCAAGTGATTTTTTTTGTTTTTTTCACAGGGAAGTCTTTTTACAACAGCACTGTTAAAGAACAAATGGCACAAGTCCCTGGTTTTTTTTTTTTTTTTTAATAGCTTAAATAAAAGCTTTAAGACTGTTTCTGAATACATACACAATCCAAAGGCAGTGCAGAATCACTTCATAATTGGTAACATTACCAAAGTTTTCCAAAGTAGTCAGCAACAAGTTAAAAAAAAAAAAAACCTAGCTGATGAGAAATGCTGAAAACTAAAGGCAAATTAAAATCAAGCATGTTTAGAAGCATTTTGGGTTTTGGACTCCTTTGGATGTAATATGTACTACAAGTGTTCAGATGCTTTTATTTAAAAAAAAAAAAAAAAAGGAGAAAAACACAAATAGAGCACCATTGTGTAAGTTAAACAAAGGCTTGAAATATCTAAGACTATTCCACCGAAGTCCATATTAGTTAAAACCTAAACATACTGTGTGGTATAAGAATGTCAGGCACATGTAATCTGTTATCAGTTATATCAATTAGTAACACTGTTCACACATTTACCATAACAACACTGCATTAACATTCTGCATGTATTTTACATAACCAGCAATTGGATAAAAAGGCTTGTGGTGCCTCTGAAGTGTAGGAAGTAGTTGACCAGCATGCATGCCAGATTACTGTATACAAAGTGCACCATCAACCCATGCTTAATTACTTTTACAGGAAATGCTATCTCAAAAAATCAGTCATTCTGCTACACAACCATTTATACCAACTAGTTGAATTAGCCAATACTCTCACCAACATCTTTAAGCACAGCACTAAACCTAGTGGAGGTGACAGTGTCCTCAAGGAGGAAAGACTAAGCACTCTTGGAATGTTTTCACAATGTTTTCATTCCACCTTAAAGTAATGTGAACTTCATTGTGGGACAAGCGGTTACACTAACTGAATTAAAGAGTTAACTAGTTCCAACCCATGCATTACAGTAAGCACACTAGGACCAGCTGTTACATCGATTCAGCTTTGCCAAGTCAAGGTCAGGCCCTCTCCTTTGGCAGGGGGAAAAGCCCATTTCATCCACGTTCCATTTCAAACCGCGTATATTGTTGTCGATACGTTGAACTATCAGTTCTGCCAGATACTGCGACGTATCTGCAAGTTAGCAAGGCAGAGGATAGCGATGTTTGGAAGAAAAAAGGTCTGGAGACAGATGGGAACAGGCCCATGGTACTGGAGTAAGCGAGTATACATCAGCACAATGCCACGGAGAAGCTTTTTCTGGTTTCCAGAATCCCAACCAGTATCTCTACCAATAAATGGATGTCCGAGCCTACAGGAGTACAAGCCCAGGCTGGGCACTTGCCTGATCGGTGTTCTCTATTGCAAAGTTAAACCAACACCAGAAAATGCTGACAAAAAACTGTACCTGAATAAAATAAATCTTGTTACACAAAGCACATCATAGTTCCACTTTCCAAGCCATAACCGACTGACTTTTTAGTAAAGAGGCTGGGAAAGAGGTACCCTGCTGTCGTTCTGGCACAATGTTCTTAATTACGCCATTTCTGTAATTACACAAGTTACTTGAAATTCAGATAACGATGTAGTTTGGCAACAAACTTTTAAAGACAGGTTAAGATGTACCCGCTAGCGCTGCAAAATCTGCTGTAGAATAAGCGAGTTTGCCGTCATGGTGCACAGTCAGAAATCACGCAAGCTGCACGCTTGAGCCTACGTTAAACTATAGGCACGTACCATTTTCTGTGAGATTCAAAGCTGGGAATAAAACCTTTTAAGTAAAACCTATGAAGGGTCATTTTATTACCTTCCTCATAGGAGTTTGAGGTTGTACCCTTACAACTCCATCCATTTTAGTAAGGGCATCAATCTTGAAAGGCCACTGACAGCTGTTTAAAAAAGGAAATCCCACAGCCTGTGCAAGTTCATTATTTGGCCTCATATAATAACAATGTGTTACACTAAATCTGTAGGCTTTAAAAAAAAAAAAAAAAAATCTCAACTATATCCAGGACAGTAATTAAACAGCAAACGTCACCTTGGCAGGCTCTATCAATCATCACAAACTTTCTACAAGTTCCCAAGAAGCATCAGATACCATTTCCCCAGTTGTGCTCAGGCTTCTTCCAGGTTTCCTTGTGGACCGACACAAAAGGAGCCACCTCAGGACCTGCAGCACTACAAACACGGGTTAGCTGGACACCAAAACCTGGCAGATATTTGTATGATGCTTTTGGAAACCTCGGTAGCAAGTAGCTGGCATTCCTTACTATTTATTTTAAAAGCAGCTGAATCCAACAGACAATTGCCCATCAAACAATGATAGTGAAATTACTGGCAGTAATACCTGTATGAGCGCCATTACCGTGTTTACAGTCTACCTGAACTTTTAAGAAAAGTTATATACATTAGTAAAATTGTTTTTGGAGTTTTGCAACTAGAAACTAGTTTTAATACCAGAATGTAAAAATGGCACCTGTCTTCGCAAAGGTGTTGACTAGGAAATTGGTTGAAAACACGCTTCTATGGAAAAAAACTTTTTAGAAAAAGAATTCTTTTCTTAAAATTCCTTAGTAACAAATTTCCAGAATGATTCACTCAAGGCAGCTGTGAGTTAAAAAAAAAAAAAAAAAAAATCAAGTGCACCACTAAAAAATCAACCAAGTCTGCAAGATCCCCAAGAGCTGCTCACTTAAGAGAGTAACAAGAATTCCACAATAGTTTTGTTAATGCAGACAGATCATACAGCAAAATGCTGAGGAACTCCTGTGACATACAATCTAGTGTGAATTTGGTCCTACACCACAGTCTGCTGTTAGTAAATGTATACTTCTCCAGCACAAGATGCGCCTTTTCTTTTTTTTAAAAGTGAATTTACTGTGATTGACTGGCACATTCATTTTTATTGGCACCTTCACCAGTATAGACATGGCAAGTTTACAGGCACAGTCTGGAAGTACTGAAATTTAGGATTACAAATATCAGAAACTTGACAAAGAGTCATCTCAGCCACAAATTTGTTTTGATATATTACAAGACACCGGGCACTTACATTTACTACCTGACCCAGAGATACCCAGACTCCCCATAACTTCAGATGAGGGCAGATTAATATGATCTTCCAACCTGATGATTTAAAATTCACTTAATCTTTAAAATAAGTCACTTAAGAGAAGCCAATAGACTTAATTCCCCTTTCCAAAAAGGCCACAGACGTTCAGATTCCCAAGAGAACGTCCATTGCAAGCGCAGGCACGCTGCCAGGCACCAAAAAGTTAAGCAATCTTCCCGGGTAGTTTCAAATGGGCATCAGTCACTCGATTTTCCTGGATCTACACTCAACTGTACTTGACCAGAACCTATCATTTATAAGCAACTGACATCAAAATCAGAATAAAATCAGGACCAGGAGAGGAAATGGCTATTTACAGTGACAGAGCTGCAGAGCATCTAATAAGCCACCGTGGTACAGACCTCTGTGACCACAGGAGAACAAGCAAGTTGCTAAGTTTATAGTATGACGTTTTAAAGGGTCACACACAGGTAAGTAAGGTTATTTGGTTCATTGTAAGTTACACAATTCCTTTTATAATTCACACTGCACATAACTGACAACAAGCGCTTTTGGTTGTGGTATGCTTTGGCAACCCCCTGATTTGGAGGGGGATTACAGGCGATTAACTGCACATTTAAATCTTCTTTAAGAATTTAAGCAGAGTCCTCCTGGATTTCTCTGTTGATTGTGGTAATTGAGCAAGCTTTGCAAATACACCACTTTCTGCCGCACCGAGCATCGTGCCAAATGATTTTCTTAGTGCAAATCAGCTAGAGTCGGTGATGGGCCAAAACTACCTCATTTAGTTAGAGCTGAACTGTCAAAAGGAAAAGCACTCAGCCACTTAACGACAGCAATGCAGGTCACTTGGCTTCCATGCCCAAGGACTGCGTGCAATAACTGATGCGAAAAGCTGCAGTAAGGAAGCTAATGCTTCTGGAACCGGATTTTTGTTTGTTTGTTTGTTTTTTAATTATTTTTGCTGTTGTTACAAGTCTGCCTGGCATTAACTCCTTGGTGTTTGGAGGCCATGACTGCCAATGGATGAACCAGGAACCACTGGCTTGAAGGAAGAACCCTCATGATTAAAAATAGGCAAGCAGGTCAAGAAGTGAGTGAATAAGGCGGTAGGTATTAACTGGGAGTCTCCAGGGCCTTTAAAAAAAAATTCAAATGCCTTCCATTATAAAAACACATACATACCATTGGCTTCACTTTATCTACAGTAAATTCACAAAAACATTTAAAACAGCGATCTAGTTCATCCACTACAAAACTCAGAAGTGACATCTCAGGTTAAAAGCAAAGCTATAAATGTAGTTCCTTAAAAAATGCAAACATATTTCTTTACATACAGACAAATGTTACATGATTGGCTGCTATAATGTGTATATTCTGTTATGTACAAAAAAAAGTACAGGATTAGCAGACTGAGCACAAGCAAAAACCCTTCAAGGACAATCTAACCAAACCACCAAAAACAAAAAGACTGGCTCTTAGTTTGTCGGTCACCATGATTATGTGTGCTGGCCCCTTTTAAAAAGTCAGTGATTTCTTCCCCCCTCCCCTATTTCTTCACTTGATTTTTTTTCTAGTTTACAGAAAGCCTTTTTGTGTAATAATCAGTGAATAGAAAAACTTCACCTGCAAATACAAGGTAGAAATGTTATTTCACAGCTATAGGCTGCAGCATTGATCTCTCCAGATCTCAAATGGAGAATGTACATGTTTGGCTCCCAGTTAATTCCAGATTCTGAGAAAACTGTCCCAAGACCCTGTAGCTACAGCCATGCCGTCATCAGTAACACCTAAACAGCTGACACGGTTGTCATGGCCAGCAAGGACACCTGGAAAAGAAGAAGCAATGGAAGTTAATATTTACAGAACATCAAGGACTTCAGCTGTTACTCTGCTCTCCCAGGAAAGTCTTCAAATTTGCTAAAAAAGATGCAATGCAAGATCTAATCGTCCTTTTTTGTCTTTACCCTGAAGAACTATATACATCACAGCAGCCATATCAAGAAACTCAACAATGAGGTTTTTGAACATGTGTACACACAATATTGCCTCCATTTTTCTCTCTGCCCTTACAACTTCTCCTTTCTGACCCAAAGACCTCCTCATCCCCAATCAGGCTCTCGACCATTTTTTCCCTGTTTTCAGCAATGCTGTCCACAATTTCATCCACCAAGCATTCCCAAAAATCAAACATGATGTCTTCTGACAATGCCCTGGCACTATCTGTGTCAGACTATCAGAAAAGCAGCACTGTACCGTGCCTCGTCCCGCTTTGTTTCTGCTTTCCTTCTACCCATTCTTGCACTTGTCTGCTCTCCCAAGGTCCCGCATCCAGGTCTACTAAAACTCAGCCTGTCCACGTCCCTTAAGGGAAAGGATATGTTTTCAGTCTGAACAGCAGAATCAAGGTTCAGAACTGAACTAGGCCCCATCATTTAAAAATTACTGTATGAAGCGAGAAAGACGTAGCTATGCTATAAACATGCTGTCTATCCTGACGGAAGTGACCAATTCCAGGACTAAAAGTGGCTACTTCCCCTGTCTCTCAACAGCAAGAAATTATGGTCCGCAAAGCAAAAAAACAAAAAAAAAACAAAAAAAGCTACTGTAACTTGCTACTATCTGATTTACTTCCTCTGATGGGCGCAAAAGCCAATGCAAATGTGTAATTTTTTAACTTAATTTCATACACTTCAGTGAAATAAATTTTCAAATTTTCTGTAGACATAACATAATTTTGGAGGCTGTTCCTTATCCTCAAGAGCTGGTATCTTCCAGCACACGGATATATAATGGCCAATACTCAAGAACTGGAGTATTTCACTGACTGGAGCATTTACTCCACACATCATATAGATGAAACTGTAATGCAACGTAAGAACTGGAAAATATAACCAAGTGCAATAAAAGAAAAGGATGCCATTCCAAAAGAAAACAGTGTTAGAAGGAAGCAAGCAGATTCCGTAACATCAGCAACAGCATTGGCAAAGAACTGGGTCCGTGTTTTGCATAGATTTTGAATATCCATCTTCTGCTAAGGAAATGGAAAACTTCAGCTCATTGCAGTTATGTGTACCCACCTGCTCTCTCCCCTTTCAGAGTATCCCACACGTTGCAGTTGAAGTCATCATAACCTGCTAGCAAGAGGCGACCGCTTTTTGAGAAGGCTACAGAAGTGATCCCGCAGATGATATTGTCGTGCGAATACATCATTAATTCCTGATCGGCACGTAGGTCAAAGAGTCGGCAAGTGGCATCATCAGATCCAGTGGCAAACGCATGTCCGTTAGGGAAAAACTGAAAGTTTTAATTAAGAGACAAGAGTTTGATACCAGAAAAACACATTGTTCATGTATTATTTCAAAAACATCACAGGATTATTTTGCCAGGGTGACCAGATAAAGGCAGAATGGTTTATTTAAAAAAATCTGCATGTTAAAAAAATGCACATACACAGCTATGCAACGAAACACTTCTAGAATAGCGTTGCTAACATCTGAATGACTAGAATTTTACCCAGACAGTTCCTGCACGCGGTATAACAGGAGTCAAAGGGGATCCACCCAACTCCTACAAAACGAAGGACAACGCAGTTCCGTGCATCCTGGCTGTGGGCCAGGAAGCCCTGGGTGAAGCAGTACACCATGTTCCATCTTGAGCTGGACATCCAGGTTGGCTCAGCCAGGACAGAAGACTGCAAGCAAGCATTTCAATTTCCAAAAAATCTACTCCAAATCAAGAGTCACTCTTACAACAGCCATATTGATTGAAATGGGAATGAAAAGAGCTCAACGCATCTCAGGATTCAGGTCTAAGTATAGGAACTGCATTTTTCTCCTGGTCATGCTTTTGGTATTTTCTCAGCCTTAGTAATTTTTCATGTTTATCAAAAACAGATGCAGCTTAGACTTAGATTTCATTCCCTATTTATCAGAGCTTGTATCTTGCAGATCAGAACATACTGTTACTATGACACAGAGGAAATATAATCCAGTTTATAAATATTACAAAATGATTCCAGGGATGAATATTCAACATAAGTACTGATTTTAACCTTGCTTTCCAGAATATTTTGCTGAAAGTTCTTTTCGACAGAAAATATCAAGTACGCTGTCGTTCAACAAAAAACTTTAAGATGAGGATGCTCGGCTATTTTGCTCCATCTCCGTATATCGCATTTATCTACAATTTTCAGTTTTAAACACACTGCAAAAAGTTTTCCTCCTCCATTCTTTGCTTCTTAAACAAAAGTAAGGTCTCAGTTCCTGGACAAAAACATAGCTGAAACTATTCCAAGAACACTTTGATGCATCATAGATAACAGTAATAATAATTCAGTTATAAACTAGATCGTAAGTTATTAGACCACCTTCTTCGTTACATACAATTCAACAGTCTCTACCCTAACAAAGTAATTGATTTTAAATCAAGGTAACCCAGTAGACTATAAGCTGAATTCACGCAACTATAGCTTTTATCTTCCCCCTTTCCTCCCACATGGAAATACAAATGATCACTTACACAAACTGCATTAATATCTGACACATGCCCTGTGAATGACTGCCTGCACATTCCATCTCGAATATCCCAAAGCTTTGAGGAGGCATCACAGGCACCCGAAACAAAAGTCCTCATATCTGGACTTAGAGAGAGACTCATCACATCGCCAGTATGCCCAGTGAATGTGGTGGTCTGTTGACCAGTTTCAATATCCCATAAAGCGCTGCAGATAAAGAGACAACATTAACACAATTTACGTGGTTATTTCAGAGTTTTAAGTTTTAAATACAAATTAAGGTATTGGAGAAAGAACAAGAAGAAAAAGAGGGGAGGGAAAAAAAAAAGGAAGGGGGGGGGGCGCGAAAGGCCAACAGAGCTCAAAAACTCACCAAGTGGTGTCTCCTGAGCTAGTGACAATTTGGTTGTCATCTAGAAAGCGACAACAGGACAAGTATCCTAAAAACAAAACAGTTATATTAGTTTCAGATTCAGGAGTAGTAAGTGAAGTTTAAAATCCAAGAGCAGCTATTAAACTTCTCCCACAGTTAGCCTGTAACCAACAAAACTATTTCACAGTTCACAATACACCTCAAAATGAGACTGTTTCATTTGGTGCAATAAAAAACCCAAAGCTTAAGCAAGGATATGGCTGACCTGTATGCCCTGGCAACTCTCGGCTCACTCTCACATTGCCCTCTCTGGTTTTTAAGTTGTATATGGAACAGATGTTGTCCAATCCACCACAGGCAACGTAGTTTCCAGACGGTGCATATGCACAAGTCATCACCCAGGAGGATCTCAAAGGAATGGCGTGCATCTTCAGAAAGACAGAGCTTATGAATGCTACGTTACATGTTGGCTTTCATTTTTCACTGAGGTCATTCATACCAGTTAATGAATTATAGTAGATTAAACACACCAAGTAGACTGTGTATCATAAGTTTCAATATTTTGATTTTACAACATACTACAACCAACTTCATATTTATACATACAAGGATGAAAAATACCAGTAGTCTCCAGGGTAGATATACAGAAATTCAGTACAACATTATTTAACAGTAAAGCTATTCTAAACTTAAACATTTACAACATTTGTTTATTCTACTTAGATTTCTTTGTCCAATTCTTCTACATCTCTGAACTACAGGTTATAAAATGGGATGGTTGTATCCATGGAGACTGGACAGTTTACAGAAGCAGATCAGCACTCTGCACTCTACCTAAGCTCTTCTCATTTAACAGCTTTTTTTTTTTCCTTCTCCTTTCTCTGCCCTCAAAAGCAAAGCACTCTCGTAAATTCTGAGGTTATGTATTTCTACAATTTAAAACCAAATTCGTTTCAGAAGCAACACCACACAAGCAGAGAGCAATAGCTACCACCACTTCACTAGCAAATTTGAGCGAGAAACGTTACGTATTATCTAGAACTACTGCTTCTGAGACACAACCTACAACACAGCACCAGTAATTGGCTAGTCGTGAAAGAAAAAAGATTCTATCTGGTTTAGAAACACTGCTTCTTTTCATTTTTGCCTTGCAATCATAGAAAAAATAGACACAAGGCTCCTCAAACACAGAAATTATGCATGAATTATTGATATGGATTAGAAATAACTCTACCTTATTTGTTGTATAACTATCCCAAATAATTAATTTTCCATCTTGAGAAGCACTGACTAGTAGCCTAAATATAAACACAAAATAAAATATGTTAATATAACACAAACTAAAAAAATCTCAAAACAGACATACATCATGCATGATTACCAAGTGATTCAGAAATCTCCTAATTTCTTTATTACCCTCTGCTTTTTTTTGTTCCGGCAGGGGGAAGCATTTGTTGGAAAAAATCTGCAAATCTCAACATATTACCTGACCAAAGAATCACGTGTCCACAGGGACTCACAATTAACAATGGACAAAACCAAACAACTTACTGAAAATGCATTTTTATTAACTCTCTCCACAGCTGCTTTTATTTTTCATAAACTGATATTTTAACTATACAGCCTCACAAAAATAAATGAGAAATTTAGGGGAAAATAAATCTTACTTTGAGAGCAGATTCTAGATGTATTTCTTTCTGGACAGAGAGTAGATCATGAGGCATTGTTAACATCTAACCATCAGTTGCTCTAACGACAGCGTAACAAAACTCCTTCCTAGAAGCTAAGTATTTACATTTACATACATTAAGTATCTATTCCCACTATCTACAAAAGGATTGGTTTTTTTTCAAATGAAACGAGATTCGCCTGTAAAGTTTTTAAGTCTCTGTTATCACAGAAGTTATATAATTATTCAACATCTTGGAAAATACAATATCCATCATTTCAAAAATATGTCTCACCACATACCCTCCTCTGCTTAAACAGACTCAAAGAACTTAGTCAAAACTGAAAGAAGGAAAAGGCAAAATGTCTGTGGTAAGAATAAGCAAAATACCTCCCCTTTCCATCAAGACTTCTCTGTTACCACTATGCAATCCTCATTGCTTTTAAAGAGGCAAACTATAACTAAAGATAAAAAAATCCACCACAGTCACCATCTGTGATGCCCCTGCAAGGGCACCAACACCGTATCATATGGCTCCCAAAACCTGGTATTAATTTTGAAGCTGACAATCTGATTTCTAACCTTTAAACTGCAGGTTTAAGGATCACTTGTACAAACCTTGAGTCAGATCCCCAGTGCATAGCATAGATTTTGGCTAAGTGACCTCTAAGCGTACGCCTTGTTCGCATTTGAATTCGACCCACTGAGTCCAGACTTGTTGTGATCTAAAAATAAAACAAACCCCTGAGATACTGAGAACTATTTTTAATATACACGATAACCAAATACATTTGAACTTTGATAGAAAATAATCTCTCTTGGCATCCAACAATAAATAAAAAAAAAGGATATTAGTGTACAACACAGGTTTATGTCCATGCAACACTGAGGAAAACAGACTTTACAGAAGAAAGACTAACACACTTCGCAATAGCTATACCTGGAACTTCAGGAAGTTTTTTTTAAAATAACACTATGTAATACTGAGGCAGTTTCAGATTATCAATTTCAATTAAAACCAATGGAAGAAAATCCTCCAATACTTACTGCACTGTTACTTTTTAAAGCATGGCACAACTTCAAAGGCAAAATATTTTTGTTTCCAAAATACAGGTAAAAGACATTTATTTAAGTCTTTCTAAATATACTAAACACAATAAACACACTCTATTTAAAAGGTAAACTGGAAGCAGGACCCATTATGATGGCAGGAGGTTTTTTTTGACTGGTTGGGTTTTTTTGCTGTTTTGTTTATTTATTTGGGTTTTTTTGGGGGGGTTGCTTTGTTTTGTTTTAAATAACTGTATAAATACACAGCACATTTCCAAAGACTTCTTTCACTTTATTCTTTCAGTTACTAAACAGGAACATGCTAATCATAAATTGTAGGGATTTTTATTTTTTTTATGTATCAGGTAACAGCCCATACACAGAATCAAGAACATACCTGCGCAAGAGTTGTGTCACTACATGCTTTCCTTGCATCCTGAAACAAAAGAATAGAACAACTTGAATCTAAAAGGCAACACTGCGCATCAACTGAGAGAAAGCGTCTAACGGAAAAACAACTCTTAAGCTAGACTTCACCACACTCAAGAAGCCACAACCCAACACGATTTACATGCCAGTGTGCCTTCTGTCACCCTAGTATGTTTTATTGTCCAGGGACTCTGAAGCACTGGCACACAAACTGGGGGTAGTGGAGGAAGAGGGACTTAAGAAGGGCCATGCCCCAGCTACCCTTCAGTCTCCCTTTCTACAGAATATGTGATTCAAAGGCATTTGGAGGCATCCTGAAGTCCCAGCACCCACCCTCTTCCCTGCATCCCTTCCCTGGTGCGGATGTGCTTGTTCAGGGTGCGCTGAGCACCAAGGGAAGAACCAATTCACCTAAAAAAAGCAATGATCAGCAAGCTTTGCGCTGCACGAGGCTCTTGCACTAACCCCCTTGCCATCGCAGGTATGAAGACGCCAGTTATGAGAGGCAGGATGAAAATGAACTGATCTGGACCTGTCCTGATGCGGAGAGCAGGACAGACAGCAGGCTTACCGATGCTTAAGCTGCTGATGCACTTCATACAAAATTAAGGAAAAAAAAGTAGTCAGCTAACACTCTCATTCATTTCATGGAATGGATGGTGCTCAGGTCTCCACACAGATACTCCATCTTTTTTTCATTATTTCAGACTCTACGGCCGTATGACTTACTTTCTGCATACTATTCAACCCTACCTAGAAAACAGACTTTACTTTCGTTTGTATAACCAGAAAAACAGACTGGACACCTGACACAGGGCGAGCGTCACTGAGCCTAGTTTGCAACACTCCGATTTTGCAAAACCTGGTTTCAGTTACAATTGCAAAGGACTGCGCTCCTGCAATTCAGGCTCCAGTCTTCAAAAAATAAAAATAGGCACACAGTCAGCAACCACTTCTGGGAAGCATGGTTTAAAATAATTGGCTTAAAATTAGGTAAGAGCTCTATAGCACAAGTTAAAACTATCAACAGGAGTATTGAAGGATCTGCCAGAAGACCCTCTCTAACTCCCTGCAATTTCTCCAAATACCTTCCAACTTCTGTAGCCAATGAAGCAGGCATCCCACAAACGATGGCTGGCCTTCTTCACCACTACTTTATGTGTGTCCCCCACCCCAAGAAAGCATTCAATCTGTACACTAATGGCAATGTTCTCTTTGAGAGGAGGAATGGAAACATTTACTCACACATTTTGGAACTGCATCAACATATTCGGACTAAGATCTTAAAATTTTTCAAGCTCTTGCTTGAGAGTTACTTGACATTGCAACTTCAATGATTTTTTTAGTGCATGTTTATTTTGACCACCCTTTATAGCTTTCCTCCCAGAACGCAAGCCTGAGAGTGGATTAAGTCATCTCAACTTATTTTTAAAATGTCTGAATTGTAGAAATATTTATAAAATGTTGACGTCTGGAATCAGGAGGGGTTTAAAATACCAGAGCAGCAAATCCCTTAGCACTCAAGACTTATTTCATCCACAGGAAGAAACACACTGGATTTTAAACAACTTTAATTGTTTAGTTTAGCTGAAACACTTGAAGATGTTCAACATAAAATGAATTCTGAATGCAGTCTGAACGAAACAAAGGCATTTTTCTTCAAGAAAGAGCTATTAGCAACACCTGTACTTGAAGCTGTACAATACTTGCCATGACTGGCAAAGTTGCAGGAAAAGCAAAAGTTTCAACAGGCTATTTTAATTCTCACATTTTAACTGTCATTTCTACATATGCATCATCGTAACAGAATCATTAGTGTCATAACATAAAAAAAAGCTCCTCTATATAATTGTAGATTTTTCTCACATCATGCAGCAGACAATGCAGAATTTGTGAGAAAAATCTATCTGCTCGCTCAATGTGCCGCCCCCACAACTTCCAAGCACACACACTTAAGATTTCATTTTTTCGCCAAACTATATGTATTTTTTAAAATACAGTGTCTTATTTGTACAAAATGTCATTCAATTTCAAATGATACTATGCCAAGTACGCAACACTTCCAAAAATCATATCCTGAATTTCAATTCTCAAAGTGAGGACATGCATCACATGAGAACTTTATAACAGACAGAACTAGGAATCCACTTTAACCACAAAGCCTTCCTGCTACCTAACAGTTCATTGTTCATTGATGTTTCAAACTTCCTGCACTAAAAATTCATGCAGTCTTATTTTATCTCTCCAGCATAGTCTTATCTGTGCACAGAACAGAGCTACAGCTGTAGTAACTGCATGGGGAGGCAAAGGTACTTGCATCACCTAGATACTGAAAAGAAAACAAAAGAAAAAAAGAAAAGAAAAAAAATTAAAAAACCACTAAACATTTCCGAAACATTGCCGACTACAAAAACTCTATTGGGAAATTGACAGCTATGTGTCACAGTTTATTCTACTTTAGGAAGCTGCTAGGTACAATCTTATCTGGAACTCACTTACAAGCACAATGCTGATTTTTTCCATTATTATATTGTTAGAGAAAATATCACGCAAACCCCAAGAGTTGTAAATAACTAAGACAGCAAATTGCTAGCTATATATAAAACATCAAATGCTGTTAGTGACCTCATCTCTTTTTAGGAGTGCATTAAAAATAATTCCTGAAAATTACCAGCCTGCTAGATATTCTAGAACCTTAAAAAAACCCTTATTTTTTAGATCCTTTATCTATCCACTTCCCCTTCCCAAACACCCTATTTAGAAAGAAAATTGCAATGATTCAATAAGCAAGATAAATAGTCACCTCTACAAATATGAAACTGAATTATTTGGTTTCTCGAATAGTAAGTCATCAGGAGTATTTTAAATTTCATATTAATCTGGTGTTAAAATTAAGCATAAGGCATTCAACTCTGCACTCAGATTCAGAGAGACAAATGCTAATCGCCAACGCTGAGCCAAAAGACTCCAATGGCAATAGCCACGGTCACTCACGGTTACTCAGCTACATCTGTATAGATCCAGTTACAAGTTCAGCTGAGGGAGTTACAAGGGAAACGTTAAATTGACCTAAAGCCACAAAATGGAGTCCTTATACAAAAGGCCAATCCAATTTTTATGCTCCAAAATTTAAAAAGCAAACATTCCTGCAATGCAGTATAGCTCTCTTACTTGCCTGGTATCTCTTTCTTCACACAACACAATTTTGCATAGAACCACACTAACCGATTACTAAGACTGAATCCAGACTAACTGGCTTGTCCCAACATAATGTAATGAAAAAGTCTTCACACATCAAGCAGAGGAAGAACCGAAAAATTACGTGTATCTTCTATTTGTGCAATGCTGTAATAAAGCTTAAATTTAACAAAAAGTATTTTAAACTAAAATTTATTTGTATTCCCCTACAGAGCTGCTAGAAGGGTACCCAGTGCCACAACACTGACTGATCCCCACCTTGTCTTTCATTAGTGAATTAACTAAAACAAGAGGGCACAGAGCTCTCCTTGGATGATACTGAATGAGCAGCCATGAAAGCAACATTTGCCCCCAACACAACTACTAACACATAAAGTGTGTTTACCACACGGTTGATACTCATAAGCAGCCTAACGTCCGCTGCACTAAGCAGCAGACCACCACAAACCAACTGCTGCCAGCAGATCCCATGCTAAACAAGTCGGTGTGTATGCCACATATTCTAAAATACCTGTAGTCTTAGCTAACAGGAATGTTTACAAACAAGGAATTACCCTATAAATCAGACTTCTGAATGATTCATGTTTAGGAAAAGGAAATTTTGATGAAGAATAAAGAGACTCAACAGTCTTATACTTTATTATACTGTGTGTATGTATATATATATACACACATACACACACTCTCTATATATACACACACACTTTATACTTGTGTCCCTACTGAAAACTCTATGACTGAAATAAACAAGCATGTTGCAACAGATTTCTGGTAAACTGACTTTGGGCATGACAGCTCATACTTGGTTTATCTTCAATGAGTAATTTCAACAAAAAATTAGCACATATGGGGGGATCTGCATTTCCCAAAAAAACAAATTCAACAGGAAGCAAAAAAATAGGGCTCATAGAAATGACATCCACCCCTGGAACGTTTTCCTTCACACTCCATGCTTTGACCTGCATGCTTATCGAGAGTGGCAGCGCAGTGGTCACTTTTAGCCCAGAAACAAGCTTTTCTAATACCCCAACCTGTCATGCCTAGGTTCTAGAAATTTGCTGCCCCCCCCCCCTTATTTTTTTTAAATCCAAAATAAAAAATTCGCAGAGACACATAGACATCTAGTAATAAAACACAGCAAACTTCAACAGGAAATAAAACATTTCGTTCAAGAAATATTACAAATGCATTTCATTATACCGATGGCTTACTTTTCTGATTTTTATACAAATAATCTGAAAAATATTTTAAGCTCTGCACAAGTTAAACAGAAGCAAGTAATAGATGCGATCTTTACACTTTATTCCTTTAAACGAAAAACATTATCATGAAAAATAAGCAATTAGCAATTCTTACTCTGATTTGATTTCGCAGCTGCTCTGCCTCCTGCCGTAACTGTTCCAGCTCGCTCATCTTCTTCAGTTTGTATTTCTCACACTCCACTGGAGAAGAAAACCTGCCAATAAGAGGGAACAAAAATAAGTTTCAGTATCACTTTCTCCTCTCCAAAAAAAGAAAACAAAACCCCCCACGAACCTATATATATTTATTCTGCCTTTAGAAAGGCTTCCAAATAGATATTCCCATTAGTACACTGTCTAATAAATTTGGCAAGACCAGAGTTATTTCAATTCCTGAATTATCATGAAAAGCAGAATTAAATTAAGTCTATTTTGACTATAGAAGCAACTGTCAACAGAACCACCCACTGCACTTTAAAAAACTGTTACTGAACGCACTTCTCTCACCCACCTGGAAACCCCCCTCAGTCTTCGCCCCAAGATGGCAACAGAGACTGCAGTGGTCGCCTTCAACATCCACCTTTCAGCTCAGCAGTGCCATGATACCAGCACCTTGGCACATGACATCCAAGGTGGGGGTTTGTTTTAATTAAAGATGAAAATTTTGAATTCTACACTACAGCTGAAATAGAAGGCTTTCTACATTTTTTTTTTTCCATATTTTCCTTGGGCAAGGCACGATGATGTTTTCATTTCAAAAGCACCGACACAATGAGAAGGGACAGCAAAGACCAAACCATCCCTAAAAGCATCCTCATGCTGGCACAGCCCCTGGCAGCCTAAAGCAGTTCTCATCTGAACAAGGACTCAAAGCAACCTTAATAAAAAGATCAATACGCAGTAAGACCACACGCAAGCACACTTTCAGGATAGTAGGGTTTTTTTCAATCACCTTCTGATTTTTTTCACTGTGTTCAACAATTTCCTCAGATCAATTTTCCTCTTCATCCCCAATACAGGAGTGCAGCCAAACACCACTACAGAGACCTCTTAATTCTATTCACATACACGTAGACTTCAATATCTTTGCAGTGAAAGTAAAATAAGCTAGTAGCTTGCTGACGAACAAGCCAAGCACTTGTCTGCATTCTTTTCATGACAGAAAAAGCACACCAGAAAGGTGACGGTGATGGTCCCACTACATTACCTAAAAAGCCCCAAACACATCTAGCTTATACAAGAAGAAAGACGAAAGTCAGACTACTATTCGCAAAATGAGAATTGAGGGAGGAAGGAAAAGAAGCAAGAAGAACCTATTCAAAACATTACTCTAAGTTTTTTATTTAAGCATGAGAGACAATACAGCAGTGTCCCCCCAACTGAGTCCACTGAAAAACAGACAAAAAACAGGGGAAGAAAGGTCACACTGTGTCTGGTAAGTTGTAGACCTCCAGGGAAACCCCTTTATTTGGCCTAGCTATGGGTTCTTTGTAGTTCAGTACTGATGTACTCTAAAAGACAGACCCTGGAAAGCTTTTTTCCATCTATAAACAAATGACGCTTCATAGATGTAAAGAGTGAAAAGTTTTGGTTCAAAGTAACTTACTAATAAGATAGTCATCCTTGGACTAACAGCTTACACAAGTGTTTAAGAGCTGTGAAACTTCTCGCTACTCAAGAAGAAAACTGTTATCTTCACTAATTATCCATCTAATTTTTCTTGCTTTCATTCTGAATGAATCCATGCTTTCCACAGATATCACTGCAAAGTTCATTTAAGAATAAACTCACAAATATATACAAACTGGATCATCTCCAAATCAAAATACATCCTAATTGATAAGAGCACAGTGGTGACTTCGAAGGTTTAACTAGACTTTGCAGCTATACATAAGAAAACTATGAAGTTCACAGCTTTTTCTTCCTTAAACCTATGCTCTGTTCAACTACAGAGACATTATAACTCGTAGGTGAATACTCTAGGAGACGACTTTATTTACTATCATCTTCCTATTTCAGAAGCCCAGACTATTTAACACTGCTTAATGCACAGCAGGCATAAAATAGAAGTCATCAATACTAATGTCTGATTTAAAAAATCAAGTATTAGAAATATCAATTTAGCATGCATGCTAATCACATGCTTTTATAATCTATCAACTTTAATTACAATCTTAATACATTTGGTTGGTATATTGTACCTCTATGAAATATAGCCCCAGTTCCAGTTCCGACAGCGTCAAATTATCCTTTTCAGCATGTTTTCCCTTTTTTGTTCTAGAACCTACACGAAGGCAACACAGACAAAACAATGTACTCGAAGGCCTAAAGCAAGCCAGCCATGATGCCTGCCAACGTTTCAGTAGTCTTGCGTGCTATTTTTAACAGAAGATAAAGATTCCTAACAGAGAAGTTGATGTATCTCCAATTTTCTGAGAAGGGAAGTCAGCTTCTGCCCTGTGATGTGTCACACACTTCAGTGCTCGGTACACAGTAACTTCAACACAGAGAGTAATTGATCATAAAGAAGGTGACATTACTATTCAACTGGAAGCATGCATGCTTGGTCACAAGTAGCTGAAGTTAGGGCATTTTTTTATTGATAGGTAAAACTGTGAGCATATTAGAAAATTAGCTGTAGCATTGCACTGGCACTCAAAGACCCTCAATGACCATTCTGTGCTTCAACCATAAAGTCAGTGTTAACTACTTTAATGTCATTTGTATCAGTACTGTTCATTATCAACGCTATTTCTGTATCTAGCTGCACCAGCAGCTGAACAGCTGTTAAGCTTAACAGCTTTAAATAGTGTTATACCTGTACAAGTTCCTCCATGGACAAAATCCAGCTTCAGAAGCCTTCTCATGCACCTATCTTTAGCTTAAAAATCAACTCCTAAGCAAATTAAAGGACAAGGATCTTTCACACTTTTTTGAAAGATTTTTTTTCTGTAGTTGAAAAGTCCCAGCAACATCAGTATGTTCGAAATTTGCAAGGTCACTAGCATTACTGCTCAGCAGAAATGTATCAGTGGTTCAAGGTCAAGCTATACCTCAATGAACGTTACAGCCTTCAAGCCAGTACACATTTCTATGAAGTCTAGATTCCTTTTAGAACTGGATTATTCTAGCTTTAAGCATTAAAGTTCCTTTCCAGTATGCAGCAGCTGAACAGCAAACTCTGAGATATTCTTAAGCTATATATAAACACCGGGATACTACAGTAAACAAACTAAGCGCACAGTTTAACTATTAAATGGATGCGTATCCAACACTCTCTGTTGCAGTGGTTGGCTACAGCTCCCAATACAACTGCTTGTGTGTTCAGATGATCATCCACCATAAAGTACTCGGCAGAACCATGACTAAGATGCTTCCACTTGGGATTTTAAATTTTTTTTTTAAGCACTATTTTCAGATGCCCACAGGAAATTACAGAAATTGAACGGGTAGGGAAGCAGCTCTCAGGGATGCCTTTCCAGATTCAGACTAACTCTGCAAACAGCATCTCTGAACTCCTGTCAAAGTACTGTGTGAGCACCTTACTGATGCCGTAGTCACGACAGCAATGCAGGAAGATAAATACATGCTTGGAACTTGCACATGTGGACACATCTGTGTCTGTTTTAACACTTCCAATGCTACAATGATACGGTTAAAGAGAGGAAAAGAAAGGAAGCCATAGGCGAGATGTAGTTATGTGCACAGACCATTATCCAGACTAGATTTACTTGCTGTAATATGGTTTTGAAGTGTATCAGTGAGATGACCAGCGAAGCACAACGAGAACACAGAACTGAGATGGCTGGCGGCAATGGCAAAGCAGAGGCGGCATCCTATAAACCTGTCCTCAGCGCAGAGCAGCAGGTCATCACCACAGCCTTAAGTATGCTATTTCCCAATGCTACCAGTCATCAGATAAAAAACAACTTGGTTTTGATCAGATTAAATGCTGGGACTGCTTTTGCGGGGCTTACAGGGATTGCACAGAACAGAGGTGATCTCTGTATTGCAAATTTTTCCTCATACAACAAATTACTGAAAACCTCAGTGGATTCAACTCCAACCTGTACTAGGTGTCATACGCTTCAAGTGCCAGCCCAGCCTTAAATGGTGACAGATTTATTACAAACCACACCCGCCTGTTCACTCTCTCTTCCAGGAAGATCCAAATACTACAGCGAGGAAGGAGCACTGCTCCACAGCCTGGAAAATTCTTTATTCCGAACCTGAACTTCCCCAGGAGCCCAGGTGTACCGTACTTGGCTGTGCACGCAGTGAAGCCACCAGCTCTTGCACTTCTACGGGCAGAGAGAGTCAGGATTCCTCCTGCCATTTTAGGAGACTGGGATTAACATAATGTCTACCCCTCTGGCTCATTAACATTTTCCACAAATGTTTAGTCAGAGAAAAAATATTCTGAGCTACCTTACGACGCAGAATACTAGTGGTATCTGCTTTTCAACATTCACAGGTAGAAACCCTGATGAAGAAGCCAGATGCTTCTCTTCAAATGCAATTCATGATGTGCATGACGTACCATGAATAGTATCATCTGCTACAGCAAAGAGGCCTTGAGGGGATGAGGAGCAGGAAGGGGAAGAACTTTTTCATACCATTGGTAGCCAGGGGGTGTACCACTGCAGGACACCCAAGCAATGAGGAAATGGGGTCAAGGACACGAGATGCTCCCCATCAGGAGTAGCAATACAGGGAGCTCGTTGTGAGCAGTAACTATTGTGTAACCAAGGCGGCACATCTCTGCCCTCATAAAAGCAATGTCATTTGTAAGCTGAACTGTACCTCAGTGCAATTTTTCCTCGCAGACTTGCACAAGTGAATTTACTGATACCAAAATAAAGTGCCTCCCGAGGCAAAATAATTAACTAAGTCAAATTCCACAGCTTATCTTGTGTCAAGAAAGCCACCGGCAGGCTTGAGTGCTCCACAGATAAATTACTCCTTACGCTATTCCTGATTCAGTATCAGCATCGTTTGCTAAGAGTTTAATTCTTCATTATACGGCCAGGCAGTGACAAATCACCACACGTTCTTGTCTCCAAAGTACTTTCTCTGCAACCTGTGGACTCAAACGTTGTGGCTGAAGAAACACCCTTTTCTCTGCAAAAACTCAGTCGAAATGCACTTGAGAGCGCACCGTAAGAAAATTCA